CTACTCTCTCTCTCTCTCTCTCTCTCTCTCTCTCTCTCTCTCTCTCTCTCTCTCTCTCTCTCTGTCTCGCATTCACTCTTCTCTCTCTCTCTCTCTCTCTCTCTCTCTCTCTCGATCTCACTAAAATATAGTACTATGGTATATTTCGCATATTCGTCAATAATCATTTCTTTTTAAATTATAGAACGTCCCACCGAAAAAACATTATGCGAAGCTACCGCCGAAGCGTGCCCACAAAACTACGACGAAAATTGTACGACGTGCGATAAAGAATCTTAAATGCACAGATATAGGAAACGGTAACGGAAGGATATATGTCTTTTCTCTGAATGAAATAGGATTTCGAGTATGTCTCAGTATGTTAACAAAGATAAACGTTTCTATCTCTAGTTTTATGCGGCAGTGAAGAACAACAAGTTTCATTCTGGCAGTAGACAGCTTTGGAGTATATCTTCAAAAAGATAAGGATACATCTTTAAGTCTGTCGGCAGTTTCCAATTTCAGAACAGTCTTTACGTTTCGGATTATTCGCACGTCGTCGCGATTCTACGTCGCATGATTTTACGCAATGGGCGGTCAACAAATAATTCGCGGTCCGAAAATATCAACTATTTAACTAATCACCTCGAATCACTAGTCGTAACGGAAATTCGTTTGCAACGGACGCGCTATCGAGTGCAGACGAAGGCCAGGTAAGTAGGAAGTGATCGCGAATCATTTGCTACCGATTGGATCAGCATCGGCGGAAAGACTGAAGATCGAGACTCGATCTTGAGCCTCGAATTATTTTGGCAATTATTGTACTTGTCTATATATTTACAGTTGTATCATACATACCACATTGCAAGATATTGAGAGGCAAACATGAGAATATATTTATTTTTGCATTGCTAAAAAATTCTATATTTGTAAAATTTATATTGCAGATTAAAAATCATAAATTGTATAAAATATTAAAATTGAAAAAATAGATAAAAAAAGAGATAAAATAAAAATAAATATTTTTATACATGGGATTGCTCTATTAAAATAAGTTCACGTTATAAAAAATTTTAAAATTGTAAACCATTTAAAATGTGACTCAGCATTGCAATATTTGAAAATATTTAATAATATTTAAAAATATTTAAGAAAAATTTTCATGAAAATATCTCACGCGTTTGCATCTCAGTTCTCCATTCTCTGTATCTCCATCGAAGGGAATCGTTATGAGCAGGCCGTTATTATTCTCGGATAAATGGCAATGAAATCGTTATCGAAGTTGAGAGAATTCGATCGACAGAAAGAGAGGAAAACGGCATTAACATTTTTAATTTGTACACGCGACTTGATTCGCCGTTGATTCCGGCGCAGATTATAGACGTTCTACGATCGACATGATTTAAAAAATATTTACGATCAATCGAACGGCGATGAGTTACAATTTCTACACGATATAGGTATACATATGTATAGATATAACGGTAATCACTTAGATTATACGAATTATTAATTAGCATGATCTCTTAATATTTTTCTCAAGAGTTTGATTTTGATCATCGAGAAGCTTCTATACGGGAATTATAAAATGTCTTAATCCGCAAATACATTTGAGACTCGCAATATCTACTGTACGCCAATATATATCTCTAATATATATTGCACTCTGTGCCTCAGATTAATCAGATATAATCCCCGTATATCGCTGTGCCGTGCCGCGCTGTGTTCGTTTAAAATATAGATTATTAATTTTTCCGCGAATATACAAAAATACAATTCTCGGTTAACAGCACCGCACGAAAGAAACGTACATGGCCATTCACATATATGGCTGCATATTTGAATGATTATTCGGTACGGTATGTATCGAATTTATACCCGTGATATTAATCGAGAATAACCCATATCGTTCGACAATATGCAGCTGAAAGATTATAAAATAAATGTAATTTTAAAACAGAATTTTATCTTTGAGAGATACAGAAATTTTGAAATTTTCCAAAATGCATCTTTCATCATTTTAATAAACATTCTTCTAACTGCGAATATCACGGAACGATACTGGTTATTCAGCCGCTCGTTTTAATTTAATAAAGCGCACTCATCGTGCCTCGCTAATCGTAACAAAACAATTTCGCCGCTTTCGTACCAGTTACTAAATTAAATTACATATTTTCGATTGTTAGAGAAACTGGTTACAAAAAAATACATGAAGAAATGCATTCGCCTTAAAATCTAATTTCAAATTTATAAAATCTTATAATTTTGTCATGTAATAATAATCTAATCTAGATTATTCAAAATTAATACAAATAGATCAATAAGTTTTTTTTTAAATATAAAGTGATATTGTATTTTATAAACAATTTTCGTCATTTTTATATCGGATCGATAGGCATATTTTCGTGCCTTGCAGATAATAAAACTTTTTAAAATCAATTGAAGAAATGTACAAATTGCTGGCACAAAAACATAAATATTTCTAAAAATATATTTCCCGTTTTACGCTAAACCGCACGTCTAAGCGAATTAACCCTTAAATTCAAATCGGAAGAAATAAAATAATATCTATATTGCGAAATAAAAATATTAAATTCACTCGGCCAGTCAAATTTGTCAAAAACAGATTTTATAAAGTTATTTGCAAATTTTGTTGATATAGAAAGGCTACAAGTTTGCTATAGGATCAGACATACATAATGTTGGAAGAATGCTGGTAGAAATGTAATAAAGTTAGTTAACAAAATATGACTGCAGCTTGCCATTGCAGATAACAGAAATTAAATAGATTTTGCATATTTACTATAGAATTTGACATGCATTGATAGCAGAAATAGAGCAAAATCTGCATTCAATCTTATTTGATTTCTGTTACCAATCAGAATATATCAGTAAGCTCTGTCAGTAGCTTAATATAGACATAAATGGATATTAGATGCTCTTGCATATTCTAAGTAAATCTACTATCATTCTATTAACAGTTTGTTTACTGGGAAAAAGTTACATAGAATAGATATATGCAGACAAAAAGAACAAGATATCAAAAAACGAATAATCTGCAACACGAGTATAGTTTTATATTACTCTAACATTAAAATTATGTTTGTATTTAAGGGTTAATAAACACAGACGAAAAAAAAACAAATCATAAAAAATAAAATCGCCAATTGATACTTATTTATAGCTAGTTTGCTATATTTGAACTGGTATTTGCATCAAATAATCGTCTAAAATCAAAATAATATTTCCGAAACGCTAGAGAATTATCTAATATTTCAATAATTTTTTGTATCTAAAAATGATGTTTAACTCTATTTCTAAAGAATCTAAATAATTCCAACTAATTTCTAAATAATACTATTTCTAATATTTACAATTAATTTCTAAATAATTTCTAAATAATTTTTTTTATTTTGGAATAACATTTAAACGATTTTAGACGATTGATTACTGTTACCAAGTTCAGTAAAATATTCTCCTTTTCTCATGAAAAGGAATTGTTTTAATATCTCAAAGTAAATAATTTTAAAATCATTTGTTTGCCCATGTCGACTGATGCATATCTTAAATGCAAACTTTTTTCTTACATACTTACATTAATTGCAGGCAATTCTCTAGAAGGACACAAGAAACAGATACGCGTTTCTATTAAAAACGCTTTCTTTCGTTACTGAAGGAGACACGCGAAACCCTAAAAAATATACGAGACAAACAATCAAACATCGATGAGCGTATTTCACATGTGTAAAGTGTACCATATTAAAATACAGCTTTTCTTAATGATTCTCCATTTGCTTTTTTTTTGTATGTGTGTTTGCATGTTTTGCCCGTGCCGCTTTAACACACCAGCACAATAATCATAATAACGACGACAATAATAATAATAGTAATTAACGTTATTTTTATCTTACTTCCATTTTCGTCAAATCATCCAAAAATATCGCATGTATCGTAGGTATCTTCACTTTCGATCTCGTCGACCTCTCATTTGTTCTCCTTTCCATTTCGTCGTCTTCTTTCATTCCGTATTATTGAAGACTTGCGCCAGTCATTGTAATTGTTACATATCTACATATATAATATATACGTATAGTATTTATCATAGTACTTTATGTAAGTGTAACAGACGGACGGTACTGCCTAAGAGGTCAACCGAGATCCGAGAAAAATTCCGAATATAACAGTCGTGTATGTGTACGTGTATGTTTTATCAATTCTTATAAGTGGAGCAAATGAACACTGTTCGTGTACATCCCGATTTGCATTATTACCATAAAAATAATT